TTTTTTCTTTTTTTTGAGTTGGAGTCTCACTCTGTCGCCCAGACTGGAGTGCAGTGGCCGCTCCCAGCCACTGCATCCTCAACCTGCTGGGCTCCAGCGATCCTTCCAGCTCAGTCTTCCAAGTAGCTGGAACTACAGGCGTGCGCTACCATGCCCGGCTAATTTTTGATTTATTGTAGAGCAATCCACTCACCTCAGCCTCCCAAAGGCGCGGGATTACAGGCTGAGCCACCGAGCCCGGCACAAAACAATTTCATGGGCTCATATGTTGCCTCCTCCAGGTCGGTGAACTCTCAAGAGGGAAGAGTGAGAGTCTTAGACAGCTCTCTATGCCTAGCATGGAGTTGTGCACACAGTAGGTGCCCAATTTTGTACTTAATGACTGTCCCAAGGCCTGAAGAGATCGGCCTTGGGACACTCATTAAGTCTGATGAACTCAAAGACCAGGGTGTGGCGCGTGATGACTAATTAAAGGGTATCCAACATGGGTGAAGGTCGGACCTGTTGGAGATCTGACTGCGTAGGCCAAAGACAATTCCCCTGCAATTAAATTCCCTAGGAACCAATTAACTGCTGCGTGGCCACCATCGCCACACTATTGTCAGGAAATTCTACTCTGCCCTGGCCTCTTTCTTCTTTGCGACAACCAACACCGCCACCGCCATCAGACCCTTGCTGACCAGCACCAGCACAGGGCCTAGCACAGAGGAGGCACCCAGGAAAGGTTTCTGGAATGAATACGGAGGGTGCCAGGGCCCCTAGCCCTGGCCCCAGCCCTTCCCAGCCATCGCTTCCAAGTGTGGGCGGACTCAGTTCATTCTGCGGCATCACCAAGGGCACTGGAAAATCTTCTTTGTGTTTGCCCCTAAGTCTTCTCCAGCCTGGAAGACCCAGCCTCATGTCTGTGCTACTCTGTAATTGCTGCGTTCCCTGTAAGAGGCTCAGCTCTCCTGTGAACTGGAGAGCACACTTAGCTGGGCAGCGATGGCACAGACCTCGGCCCAGGAGACTCGGAGAAACAGAGTCATGTTTATTTTCTCTCTCTCTCTTTTTTTTTTTGAGTTGGAGTCTCACTCTTTGTTACCCATTCTGGAGTATCATGTCACACTCACTTCCACTACAGCCTCAACCTGGTGGGCTTAGGTGATCCTTCTGCCTCAGCCTTCCAAGTAGCAAAAACTACAGACGCACACGACCACGCCCTGTTAGTTTTTGTGATTTATTGTAGAGACGAGGTTCTCACCAAGTTGCCCGGGTTGGTCTCGAACCCCCAGGCTCAGGCAATCCTCTCGCCTCAGCCTCCCAAATTGCTGGGATTACAGGCTGAGCCACCACGACTGGTCATGTTTATTTTCTTTTTGGAGCCTGCAGTGAAAGGTCAGCTACTGGGGAATCTAGGACAAAGTAGCTCCTCATGAAAAAGTGAGTCTCTTCCCTCTCTCTGCCCATCTCTATTTTGGCTGATTTTGTCTCTGAACCCTTGAATGATGTCTAATCTCGAGCAGGCCCCTTATGCAAGCCCCCAATCCAGGGGCCACTTCTTTTTCATGTCACCCTTGTTGCAAAGATATCATGGAAACACAGGCCTGAGGGCTCCAGCCCACCACTACCACATGTATCATTTTTTGCATCTTAGCCGCAGACTTCCATCTTCATCACATGGCACAACGATCAGGAACCTGGACGCTGGGACCAGATGCTCTTGAACTCGTGGCCCTGCTCTGACTTACCAGTTGAGTGAACCCAGGCAGGTTTCTTAACTGTCTCTCTACCTCTGTTTCTTCAACTGTAGATGAAGTTACCAACAGGGTTAACATAGATATCCACATAGTGCCTGACACGTGCTGGCACACGTGAAGTGAAGACAGGCGTTCACTCTTTCTGTTACCAACACTGTTACTACAGCTAGTATTGTTCCTGTCACCACTGTTCCTACTGTAAGTAATTCTCCAAGTCCCACCACCTCTGAGCGTCCACTCTGAGCCAGCTCCCGTGAGGCACGCTGTTGGGGATACAAGCCTGGCCTTCTGGAGGTCCCTAAAAATCCCAAGCAAAATGAACCACTCCTCAGTGCTCCTCCAATCCTCATTAGTATTCTTCTTTTGTTCTGGAACTTTGACCCTGGGTTGTGTTTTTGGGTAGATTCCTCTCATTAGTCTGCGGGCTCCTTGGGGGCTGGAGCCACAGGATAGTCACCCCCAGTTGGAGGAACGTCCACCATTTGCAGACATCCACATGCCAGCACAGGAAGGAAGCCCACCCAGCAGTTAGGGCGGCACCCAGTGACTTGTCTACCTTATGCTGTCCTTGAAATCTGGCTTGGAAAACCTCAAGCGACTGCTTCAATGATGCCCTCCCATGCTCCTGGGTTAGGCCCTGCTAGGGAGACTGGGAGATAGGGCCCCAGAGGAAGAACTTCCCACCACTGCCTCAGGGGCTGAGAGGAAAACACCGGTGACAGGGAAAGTCCTCTGAGGTAGGTTCCGGGCCTATGGGCCACCCTGCTGGCTCATCTTTCCCTTCCCCTCCCCAGCAGTGGGAGCTGTTGTCTACCACACTCTTCTTGGTCCCACAGGTCAAGGCTTCCCAAATGAATTGTAGGAAGGGGCCAGAGTTCCACATCACAGCAGCTACCAGAGGCCTAGTTTTGAAATACATATATATATATATATATATAATTTTTTTTAACATTCCACTCTACCAGGACTACCTGAACCATAAAGGGCTAATACTTCTTGTTCCAAAATCGAGTGCTCCCTAACATGGTCAGAAAACCGGCAGAACAGCCCTCCCTGAACCCGGGAAAGAAACTCAGGTGTTCCCATCCCTTGGTGACTTTAGCCATGGGATGTTTCTCCAGAGAATGCAGGGGCAGACATTCTCCACCGGCAGAGAGGAGCTAATATCCCAACTCCTGCCTGATTCCCTAGGGTAGGACAGATAACCTTAACCAGAAGAGGACATTCATCTGGAGGAAATACCAGCTGCCTGAAAGGTTCTCACTGTTGAATAGGCAACTTCAAGGTCACCACAATGCAAGCCCTGCCCAATACAGAAAGCCTCAGACAATGTCCTTGCTAGGGAGTCATGCAGATGCAGTGTGGTCTGTTCCATTGCTGGATAGCTGTGGTCCTTAGCATACCCCGGAAAGGAGCTTCTCCCCAGAATTGAGATTTTTTTTTTAATCAATATTTTTTATTATGATGTTGTGGGGTACAGTTAAGGGTTAGGTATACAAATATGCTTCGTTCAGGCACCCATGTTGATAA